TCTCGTGGAGGAGCAATTCACAATGAAATATTCGGGCTTCTCACTGTTTGATAGCATGGTGTTCTTTTCCGGGGAACATTCCCTGCAGAGACGCACTTTTGGCTCACTGATGCGACTGTTGACATACAGATGCTGCCAGTTCGGCGCTCGAGTCACCGCCGTGAGTTTCTGCAGCTCATCACACAGAAGAAAGGCAATGCGCGTGAAAAGTTGCGCGCGAGCTCCACCGCCCAGGTTATCCTCCGCCTGCTCCACCATAAATCCCTCATGCCACCTGCCACGCGTCAGACGGCCATCCTGCACGTACAATCCAGAGCCGTGCGCCGCAGAACTCTTGAAGCTGCCAGAAAAAAGTGCACCGGTGGGAAGCAACACCTCCGCGTTTCCGTCTAAATGTCCGTGCGAAAACCTCCCGGCGCAAATAACCCCTGACGGAAAGACGCACACGCCACGTCCCTCCGGTTTGCCCTCAACCAACGGCCCTTCGTACAGGGCACCGTCGCTGAGGCACACGCTCGCCACGTGTTGCATGGCGTCCAAGGCGGCAGGTGCCTGGTAATTTCCGCCGTATGTACCCAGCGGCTCCCCAGGCATTAGAGCGAGCCAAACGTCCAGGCAACGCGAGCCACAACACACAAAAAAACACAAAAAAGAACAGAACTGGAATCGTCGCCTCCGGAGGTATCTGACGTCTAATACAAATTTTAAAAAAAATTTTGCGTTGGGGGGAGGGTACAAACAAAAGAAAAAATTTGCTTCTTTTCGCCCTATTCCAAAAAGAAAAAAAAAAAAAACACCAACAAAAGTCTTCCGTCGCCGCCCACCAACAACCACAACCTCGCTATAAATGAAAGGCTCTTCACTACTGAGTAAATTAGAAAAGGAAAGAAAAAAAAAAAGATACAAACCAATAAAAAGAAAGGGCATGGACACAGTCCCCAATAGGATTGAAAAAAAGAAAAGAAATAACACAAATAAAGGGGGGGGGGGGGGGGAAAAGAAGAAAACACATTTGTTTGGTTGCCTGTTGAAGTCCGGTGGGTTAAAAGAGGGAAAAGGCGGCGGCTTCCCTCTTCACGCAGGCAACATAAACCGTCGTTGCTTCCCCCAAAGTGCCAATGCAGTCGTAAATCCCTGTCAAAGACGCCAAATCAACACACATCCACACAAAGAGTGTAGAAGAAAAAAAAAAAAAAAAAAAAAAAGGAAGGCAGTTGGTAATAGTGGTGGTAGTGTGGGGAAAAGGAAAGTCGCATGTGTCGACACCACTTCGCCACACACATGTCATCTTGTCACCTGCCATTCTAAATGTATAATAAATACATAAATACACCTGTGAAAAGTAACTAAAGAAAAAAAAAAATTTTTGTTAATAATAATTATTATTATTAAAAGAAAAGAAAAATAAAAAATGAAAAGAAGATCAATGCAAAGAACAAACAAAATAAAAATAATAATAATTCAATTCATGTCCCTCCACAACCGAAAGCAACGATGATAATGGAGGAGGAGGAGGAGGGGCAGGAGGGGGGGGGGGGGAAGGGGGAAGAAGAAAACAACCAAAAAAGCCCAAATAACATCCATTCACTAAAATTATTTGGATGAAACCACTTTCCCGCAACCCGTCCCCCTTTCGTTTTCAGCCTGAGGAGGGCGGAGAGTCTTTTGAGATGAACTCTTTTTTTTTTTTTTTTTTTGCAATCATCGTTCGTTTGTTTATTTCTTTCGCTCCACGCGCCCCTCCTCCTCTTCACATCTCCACGTTTTCAGTTATTGTTGTTTTTTTTTTTTCTTCTTTTACCCACGCCTTCTCGGATGGGGTGGCCGCAATTTGTTTGCCCACAGTCGTCAAACACACACACAAAAAAATATATAAATATATTCAAAAGGGGATGTGTTGCCGCATTATAAAAATACATATCTTTGCATCTTTCCTTTGCTCTTCCTCCTCCTCCTCCTCCTCTTCTCCTTCTTTTTGCCTGTTGCATTGCTACCTACATATATATATATATTCTCGCTGCGTTTCCCTCTTAAAATGTTCACCGTACCAACTCCCTCTTTTTGTTGTTTTTGTTGTTGTTGTTTTATACCCTTCGATGTATACTTCACTGTTACCTTTGCCACAACATCAAAGATAAAATAAATAAAATTAAAATAAAATAGGCTCACTGTACGCTCACTTGCATATGTATGCACGTATGTATTTTATATAATATGTATGTACGTATGCATGTCTCGTCCCTCTCTTTTCTTCTCAGTGCATGGAGGCAAAAACGTACAAACGTACAACAATGAAGAAGAACACAAAACGTTTCAAACGGATACACGTGTAAACATAAAAAAAGAGTGAGAAAAATAAAAATAAAAAAAAAAAGGAAAAAAAAAAAGAAAAAAAGGCCAAGTACGGGTTTGCTATTCCAAAGTATTTATTCCTTTTATAGCTACTGCACCCACCACCTATCACAGTCGAGAGGGAAATTTTCCCATCAAAGCAAGCCCTTGTTGCAAGGCATGCTCGACAAGAGATAACTTTCGTGCCTCCTCTAGTGGAAGGGAGTTAAAGACTTCAAATACCTCCGCAAGATCAGACAACGTTTTAACAGCGTAGCGGAGGCAGGCAGCGGAAAGGTACACTTTAAATATGGCTTCCCGCTTTTTCCCTGTCATCGTCCGCATATATCCGCGACTGTCGCAGTACCTCTCTAATATCCACTGTGGTGTGGGAAAAAGCACTTGCATCTCCATTGGCATGTCATAAATGCCAAATGGACGCGGCAGCAGTGCCACAAGAGCCAAACTAGCAACATCCACTAATGGATCACCTGTACTGACAGAAGTAAAATTCATCACCCCAATAATATTTGCGGGGTATTTGTGCCGACCTTCAAAAGAGCGGTATGAAAAAAGAAGATCCCGTAATTTATAATCCCCATGAATCATCACGAGCTGCTCCGGAAAAGGAATAGATTGCACTCCAAGCCGCGTTGCGTCAAAGCGCTCAATTAACGCCTGTGATAAGCGCTCCAGTGTCTTAAACTGGAATAAATATGATCCATCTGGTAGCTTCGCGGTGTTCACCACTGCTTTATACCGCGCTATCAAATTGTTTATCATCTCAAGTAGCGGGTGGACTGCGTTGCCCACTGAAATAACGGCAGTCCCGTTGGGGTTTCGTTCCATTCGTGTCCGTGACAGAAAACGTGGGGGCGGCACATCATGAATTTGGGATAACGTCTCCACCGCCTTCTTGAAAAAAAGATACGGGTCAAGTTCCACATGGATGTGTCGACGCCGCACGGAATACGGCCGCTGGATTCGGGGTTGAATAAGTTTTCTCATGTCTGCAATGACCTCACCCTCAACAAAGCGACGTAGTGAAAACCGATAACCACAGGCTGCGTACGATTCACAATAAAGAAGACATTTTGCTATCGGTACGGTAGAATTCTGAGCGAGATAACGCATCATCTCATACTCCGTACGGATGTCAAGAGTTCCATGCGGCACGGGGCCATGGGGCTGAAGACGCAGAACGTAGCTACCAGTGCGAAGGGTGATGCGGTATGTCTTGAAAAATCCAATTCCCCGCATGGGCTCAAAAACAATGGGGCCAGACGATGTCGCAAATCCCGGCTTTCGAGCCAGTTGCAGGTTCTGCGAGTGCCGACTAGGAATCTCAATAGGAAATAAGTGTGGCAAATTTTGTGCGCAGTAAAAGAGAATGGCATCCTTATCATCCTCGTCAAGAAACTTCTTGGGTTCAAAGAATCCACGTGGCTCACAGGCCTCACAGGGTGGTGGTGGTAAAATCAGGAGGTTAGAGTTGTAGTCATGCATCTCCTCGTTGATCCATGAAGTCGGTTTTCCGTTTGCGTCAATTGGTGGTTTAAAAAAAGGCGAGATTTCTTTTTTTACCCCCGCCGCAACGTCTGCCCAAAAGGGATCTGCGGCCCCCACCGTATTCAATGCACTCAGCACATCCTCATACACGTCATACGCCCCGTTTTCAATGTAGTACACCTTATCAAAGGGACTATCCGATAAATTGCGGGCGGTCTCACAGTTCTCAAGGACGTCGTCAAACAAAAAGATGTGCGGCTTCACACCATACATGAGGGAATCTTGAGACGTCACGCGGGTTTTCTTTGCCTCTTCAATAGCATGATGAAAAATATCGGGAAATGGTTTACGCTTGTGGAACGTGTAACTCTGCACAAATGAATCAAACAGGCTATTGATGACAAAAGAAGATCGGCCGCCAGCATCGCCGTAGTCGATGGGGCACGCCGTGGGAAAATTAGACCATTTTGTTTCACTCATGTTGTTGGAGAGCGCCTTACTCATCCGTGCGTACTGCCCCTCCACCTCCCACGTGTTTGTCACCACCACCAGGCGAATCTCCTGTTGGCTTTTCATGCGTAAGTAGTGAAGAAGATTCAACACATTGCGTCGGGGCGTCACCTTCTCCATTGTGCACAAATACGCCTCGGGATCCATGAGCTCCCGTAGCAACTCCTGAACCACTGGGACAGCCAGCAGCGGATAACGTTCCTTTATAGAGGCAACCCGCGAGGGGTGGGCAATGTGCATAAATTCCAGTTCCTCCTTGTTTTTCTTGACGAGTGCAGTCAACATGAAGTCCATTTCCGCGTGATATAACGGGACAAACTCATTGCGGTTAATTTCCCCCAATTCCAGTCGCTCAAAGGCACACCGGATCCCCCGCACCTTCTCTGTGAAGCTGTGGATGAGAAAGAAAAGATTCGAGTAGTTTTGCGCCAGCAGTGCGGGGGATTCATCCCCCACAAGCGACATAAAATGCGCCCTCGCACGCTCAAATACACAACGCATCAACGTCTCTGCAAGGCGCCGCGTTGCTGGATACGGCGACGTCGTAAGAACGCCGGCGACATCAAACATGAAAATAACCTCCGCAGGCATTTTTTGCTTTTATTTTTTGTTTATTTATTGCTGTTATGTTCTTTTTCCTTTTTCCTGAAATATATACTTATATACATATATATATATATAGAGAGAGAGAGAGAGAAAACAAATGCGGTAAAATAAAATAAATTTAAAAAAAGGCAAAGAATGCAGCATCCACGACTCTCGCAATTTAAAACAGCCAAACGACGAAAAGAACAACAAATATATAAATAAATGTGATTGTGAGCCTCACAAGAACGTCATCACGACATGTTTACTCGCCTGTCGTTCCTGCACACACTTTTGTGCTCCACGTAACAACGCAGAAAGCGCCTCGTCGTTCCCCGCAGCACTCTGTGCCACATCCCACGCGGCAGCTTCATTCATCAGGTCTTCTGCAGCTACGCCTTCGCCCAATATAACGTGTAACATTCGTGCGAGCAGCCGTACCGAATCAAAGTCCAGCGGAGATGCACACAGGGAAGAAGGCTTGTTCTTTCCAGTAGAAACACCGCCAATATGAGACTTACAACGAGTTCGTAGTGAAAGTAACGCACGAGCACATTTTGACGACAACGGGACGGTGGCTTTGTCAAAGTAAATTTGGCAGGCATCGTACCACAGTGAAAGCGGCAAAGCGCCATGATACCGTCCAAATGCCAAAAGCTCTTCCCAAGTACCCGGTCTGTCACTCCCACAAACGTAATTCTTTCCCAACGCAACTGCACGCACAGAAGAGAGCAGCTGATGCATGACTATCCCATAAAGCCGTTTCCACTCCCGCAAAGTCGACTCAGAAAGCGACTCATGTGGAGCAAGGCTACAAAAAAAGAAAAACAAACGACATAAAACGTCTTGATTGTCGCACAGAGAAAACTGCAGGCGTGAAAGCAAAAGAACCACACGAAGATATCGCTCCGCCGCCCCTGTGCCAACGTCCAACACCTCACCCTCCAGAAGTTCGCATACAAAAGTGACGGTGTCAGTTATGCCAAGGTCGTAGTTTGGAGCATGTGACAGCATCACCAAGTGGAAATCAATGGCCTCCAACACCTTTACCCGAGTGACATGCGAGGCACGCGTTGCCTGTCGCAGCAAAGACACACAGGCACACGTGACATGCGACACCTCATCCGCGGCAATTGTAGGTTTCTTCACGCCGCTCGGAGGATCGCATGCATCCAACACCAATTGGCAGGACGTGTCTCTTCTTCTCATCAACTCATTTTTATCAAAGACGGGACGCCGTGCTGCTTTTCCCAAGAGAGAGAGGCACATTGAGTGCCTAATCGAGGGTGCGACGACTCCTTTGAGTGTTGCAAGAATTCCCTCCACTACCTTTCTTGTCAGCAGTGCCGCACGCTGAAGATGAGACTCGTTCACCGAGTCGGGACAACGTGCCATGCTGCGCAACAGTGCGTGGAGATGCTGCGCGTCAAGCAATTCAGCACCATCATCGGTTATCATACGCTCCTTCAGTGCAGTCATGGTTCGCAAAATTAACCCTTTCACAAGCACTTCTGTATTCTCGTCGGAAGTATGACAAGATTGCCGTTTACTCTCTCGCAACTTTGCGCCCTGCCGGGTAAAGGGATGTGTGGCCACATCCAACAGCTCCACCAACCCTTCCAGAAGCATCTCTTCTTTACCCGTCGCATCCATTTCCTTTGCGGCGTGCAACATAAGCGTGTCAAGCGCATCGCGCACGGTGACAATGACGCAATGGAGAGTGTTCTCATCAAATTTCCGTCTCTCCGTCAGCGCCTCTAAAAGCGGTTGGGCCCCTTGAAGCAGCAAAAACCAGGAATACAGCAATGCGTCAAATGTCATTGTCTCGTCCACAACGGCTACACGGAGACGTTCAAACACGCACTGCAACACGTCCCTGTATTCCTGTCGCAGACGTTCTGCCTTTGCCAGAGATGTGTCCATGTGTCGCGGGGCTGTGAGAAGAACATGCAACGCATTCAAACGTTCCAACTCCTCCTGCAAAGAAGTCGCCTTTTCTTCTTTTTTCTCAATAGAGTAAAAGTAATTCACATCCTCTTTATATTCATTCGTTTCTTTTGCTTCCTCCACAACACACGTTGCCTCCCTCTCCCGCTCTTCCAATACACGCAGTCGGTCTACGAGTGACAGCTGCCTCTTTGCCTTCACCTTTTCTTCCAACGGACGGCTCCAGCTACACGGGTCAAACGTGAAGTGTTGGTGGGGACGATAAATATGTTTCTCAGACCACACAAATGCATTTTGGCGGTCCTGAATCTCCTCATCGCGTGTACGGTCAGGACTTAATTTGCGCTTCAGCATGCGCACTGGAACCGTCACGGCGGTGTGCATCCAATGTGCATGGCAACGGGAAAAACACCGCATTCCCAATGCCCCCTATTCCACTTATTTCGCTTCACATCGCAAAATAATAATAATAATAATAATAAAAGACAGTCAACACAAACATATGCATACATACATATAAGGCACAGCAACCGCAATAACTCGAAGAAGTAAACTCACTGGAAAAAATATTTGCACTGCACGGCTTCATATCGATAGACAGTGTTAAATACACACACACACAAAAAAAAAAAAAAAAAAAAAAAGAATACAAAAATAAATAAATAAATTTCAGTACAGAAAATTCAATTTCGTGCACCCACTTACAGGAAGGAAGGGAGTAAAAAAGGAAAAGGTAGTTTGTTGCTGTTGTTGTCGGTACTATTATTATTGTTATTATTATTATTATTGTTTCTAACTTTCCCCTCCTCTCTCTCTCTCTCTCTTTTTTTTTTTTTATTTTTATTTTTATTTCAGACATCAAAATACAAAACGAAAAAAAAAAAAAGAAAAAAAGAATAAATAACGTTACACACGCTCAATACTTCGCCACTCGTTTAAAAGCTCTTTCATTTTGTGTTCAAACTCATTTATAAGCCGGGATCCGTCGTTATCGATACGAATCAGAGGGGACGTGGATGCGGCGCTGCTTTCGTAGAGAAGAGGCGAAATGGCATCACTTATAAAATGGTCCCTTTCATACGTCTCTGCCCCTTCAGTTGGAGGTGTCAGTTGAATGGCGCCCGGGTGTGTCATCTCCATTGGGGGCGAAGAACTGCCGTAGCGTTGCTGAGACCCCTCAAATATCTCCACGCTTCGCTTGTTAATGCGGGGAATAAACGTGCATTCCTCTTCTTGCCTTTCCAAGAGCTGACGCTCCACCCTTTCCATCTTCTGTCTTCGCCTCGCTAGGCAGGCCTCCTCTCTTGAAAGAAACTCTCCTAATTTCAGTTTAGACTTCTTCTCAGGCGGCGTCAAAGTTTTTGGTACAACATCCGGCCGTTTCTCACTGCGTGCTTTTCGCCTTTCGGCCATTTTACGAGAAAGTCGACATATTTCTGGCGTGAAGGAGTTTGAATCCACCGGGGGCTCCGCTACTTTGTTATACCGCTCCCGTGCTTTTATATATAGCATCTCTGTGGCCCTGGCGGCACTGCGAGTCCTCTGCTCACTCCGCCTTTTCCTCGCCATCTCCGTCTTCCAAGAAATACACGGCGTAAAGTACGGCTTTCCCGTGCAACCGTCAATAAGTTCACTCCGTTGGTATTTCATCATCAGCTCACGCAGTCGTCCTTGTCGCCTCTGTACGTCCTCCTTGTACAGGCGCTCCCCGATGTCTCTCACCGTCTCCTCGGAATGGTGGGCGTTTATGTTAATGTTGGGACGAAACATATGCGTTGGAACAAACGAATTCTCGGCAAATCGAAGAGCATATCGAGCAAAATGCGACTCCCACCCACGTATCGGGCCCTCGTACCCCGCCTTCTCTGCCATTTGCTGGGAAGCTTCGTTGATCGCAGGCGGCTGAAGCTTTCGTAGCTCGGCTATCTCCGCCTCCTCCCGTAGCCGTCGGACACGTTCTTCCTTCGTGTCCAGCCATCTCTGCTGTCGATCAGCAAAATCTTTATTCCAGCTTTGTGTATTGCTCCTGCCCGCCGTGTTGCACTGCTGATCAAACAGGGCTCTTGCCACTCTGTCTGCCGTGGCCTTTTCAAACACTTCCAGTCGTCGTGCCTCACGTTTCAAACCCTCTTCGTAAAGACGATCCCACGGGGTCAATTGCTGCTGCTTTTCCTTCTCCTCCGCCTCTTCTTCTTCTTCTTCTTCATTTTCTTCCAACACCAGCACCTCCTCCTCCTCTTCCTCGTGCTTCTGTTTTAACTCTTCCACCCTCACAATTCCTGTTTCCTCATCATCCTCTCGCTCATTAGCGGGGTGCGACTTCAAATTCGCCTCAAGCAGAGCCAATGCGTCGTGTGCGTCATCCGTCGACATTAACTTTCTTTTCGCAGGTATCATCCATCACCACCCATCCATCCATCCATCCACACACAAAGAGGGAGAGAGAGAGAGAAAGGAAAAAAAAAATTATTCACAGTAAATTGGAAAAAAGATAGAACACATAAATACACAGAAACAAAACAAAAAAGAGAGAAAGAGAGAGAGATGCGGAGCGATAAGTGGGAACTGAGAATGCTGAAGTTTGAATCCGCAACGCTACTGAGATGAGAAAATCTTACCTCATGATTCTGACCACTTGTCCCAATCTTGAAGCGCTGTTCTGTGGGGGGGGTGGTAATGATGCCAAGAAATAAATTTGTTCTCTGTTACGCACAAATAAAAAATAATAAAATAATGATAAAAATAAATAAATAAATAAACATAAACTCACATAAATAAATAACTAGAAAAAAAGGATGAGAAAGAACATATATATTATATAGCCACTCACAACAACAAAAAAAAAAAATAGATTTACACTCATCAAAGCAATCTAAGGGAGTAATACCCCATTGTATCTCATTCTAGCGTTTCCCTTTTCCCTTTTTCCTCGTAAGTATTTTCCGAGGATTTTAATACATGAAGTCTGCCTGACGAAAGTTCCTTCTTCTCATAGGCGACAAACACACACACAAGATCAACATCATCCCTCCCCCCAACTTTCACTGTAATTTATTGCTAATTCTCCTCCTCTTCCTACGACAACCATCATACAATAATAATCGGGTACCGTTCAGTCGTTCACCCGCTTTTTTATCAAACGCTTACTCATCCCCTCCGAAACTCGATTTAAAAGACCCTCCAGTCGATCGCATGCCTGCATGTGTAAAATTTGTGGCAACATCTTCTCCGATACGCCAAGCCAATTAAGAATCACATCCACATTCACAGCCACATCACCACCAAAGCGTAGTTGTGGAGAAAATTTTACATGTCGAAGAGCCTTCAGGTATCGATCATCCCTGGACCGTTTCTCGGCGTTCTGCTGCACCGTCTCCTCCGCAGTGGGAGCAAAAACGGCACCGGCTGCTGCAGCAGTGGCATCTCCACTGGATTTAGCATTAGAGGATGACTTTGTGTCCGATGAGTCCCCAGGGCGCTCCTGGTCAATCCTGCCAAACCGATGGAACACCTCCGCGTTACTCTTCGCGGTGAAGGAGCGCACAAGTTGAATCAACTCCTGAAAGTCCTGAAAGCGCGGGTTGCCCGTCCACGGGTTGGACTGGAGCAGCGTCAACATGAAGCCAACCTCAGCATCCCCAATCCCCTGCCGGGAGTAGAACTCAAAATTGTTGGTACCACGAAACCCGAGAATGACTACTTTGACGGCGCCAGGACGAAAGAGTTCTACGTTCTCCGTATTGATCTCAAGCACCTTCTTTACCGTCGTGTTTCCGTCACCGGGGCACTCCGCAAAGGACAGTCTCGCCTTGGGGAAGCTCGCAATGAGGCTCCCAGAACTCGTTGCCCCAGCCGAGGCGGTACCAAGCAGCAAAGTTGTCTGTTCCAGCTTCATGGTGAGTTTGCCACACGGAATGCGTGTGAGCGGGTTTCCCATACAGGGGATAATAAGACTTTTCTCCGCCTCGTCACTGGCAACGCTGGGTTTGTCACCGCCTTTGATCTCCTGGATGCTGGTGCTGCCTTTTCTATTGTTATTGTTATCACCGCTACTCAGAAAATTACTGTCTGATGATGACAAGATGCGTTTACTCTTGCCACTTGCCTTGTGTCGATCCAGCACCCACTCAATACCGTAAAAAGCTTCTTTCACCTTCCTCGTGAACGATGCGCGAGACGTTTTTATGCCACCATCCCGCAATCGCAAAAGAGAAACCTCCCTTTGCATCGACACGACCTCACCCACGCTGTTAAGGGAGTTAAATATCGCCGGCACTGTACTTGGTGTCACAAACACACTGCTTCTATACAGCGACAACTCCGCCTCCACTGTCCTGCGTTCCTCCTCACCCACTCCGTCCATGCAACCAAGGAAAATCTCTGTTGCCTGGCACTCAAACACATCCTTCAACTGCCGCTCCTTAAACATCGCGTGTAGTTTCTGCACGCACAACAACTCGCGGAAAGTGCGTCCTGTCGGTGAACACAACAAATTCCTCGCGTTATCTGCATTTTCAATGAGGAATGCTTTAATAAGCACGCTGTCAAGGTTGGCCACACCGGAAAGAACACCCTCAGAACGCAGTATAAAAGACCGTACCGCCAAATCAAAGCACGTCTTGTAACACACACACGCGGGAGATCGAGTCCTCAGCAGAATGAGACTAACGCCACCCAAGGTTGCCTGTTGCGCGTTACCAGAGCTGAGGTCAAGTCGCAACTTAATGTGAGATGCCGTGACGACAACGACCAGCACCTCCTCCACCTGGCCCTTACGCATCGCTTCTAGACCACGGCAAATAACGACACTCTTCCGTACATTCTCTTTTATGATGCTTGCACTGCGAGTAAACATCTGACGAATGCTCTGCAGCGACTCAAGCAGCGCCTTGTGCCAAAGCTCCTGCACAATGAAAAGCTGCGACAAATGCGGCGCTCGCACCGTAACTTCCAAATCAACACCTCCCGAGACATCAGACGGTGTATGAATGTACACGTTTGTAAGTTCCCACACGTGCTTTCGGCGTCGCAACGCGACACATGTCACTGCCTCTGGCAAAAACATCTCAAATGACTTCACTTCCAGCTTCGCTTGGCATTCCAGCTGCATCTTTCGAGCACAAATTGTGAATAAAATCGGCCCCGGCACAAATGCATTCGTGCCTTGAAAAGGCCCCAGTGGCTGTCCCAAAAATAGCTTCACGAAGAAGTCCAGACTGCCACCCCGCTCGTCCAAAAAAAGTGAGAGGGTTACCGTCGAGGCGGGCTCTGTCATCAGCACAAAGCGTAGTCCTGTGATGCGGATGTGAATGCTCGTAAATGTATTCTTTCCTCTGCTATCATGACCTGAGAATCCCGCGTCAGATGAGTGCTGAAATCCAAGTTGCGAAGAATTCGGGTAGTCTCCGCGATTCTGTTTCTGTCGCCGCAGTGCGATTAACCCGCTCGACGTTGCTCTGGACTGCGCCACCGCCTCGGCGAAGGCACTGGGCACCGGCAACGCCACATCGGCTATAGAAGAGTGTAGAGCAAGGTCGTTGCTGGTGATATCCCTCTCCCATCCCTTTACGAGGCCGAGTAATTTCGTCACGCGCTCACTGTTGCCGCGGTCATGCACCGTCGCCCACTCTTCAATTTCCTCTGCAAGCGACATGATAGAGGGCAAAATTTCAACCGTACTTGCCCGCAGCTCGACGCGGACAATTAATTCATGATCACCACTCGTGGAGTCACAAACAGTTGCCAACACCATCGTGGTGATATCCGGTGTTGGAAAGGCAAGCAGCTCTGCCATGGGGTACACCACAGTGGCAGCATCGGCAGCACCGAAACTCGCGGTGTTATTCTCCAACGCCTCAGGGGTGAACCTCACTCGCCTTCGGTGCGAACGGCCCATCTTACTTGTTGCGGCGTCAGAGGCCTGCGGGACACTGGGAGAGCCAACAGCGGCATCTCTCTGAATGGAGTAAACCTTCACCTCACCACGCTCAACCCGCATCGTCAAATCAAATTGGTACGAATTGGGGCTTTTATTGGCCGCGTTTGGCACATTTTGAAGAGTAAATGGATCGGCATGCCGTTCCTTTCGAGAAGTTCCCCCTTCTGTCGTTACATCCTCAGAAGGCCGTCGTGATGCAGAATATGGCAACGTGGCGGCCCCATCATGACTTGCTTTCGACACTTGACGAATTTTAAAAATGTCAGAGAGCGATGCGGACGGCATTTCTTTTGTGAACTGGCTAAGGATGCTCACAAAGCGTGTTGAGATCGAAATCTGGGGTGCGCTCATATCCATAACAGCACCAACTTTTACTGTGCTTCCACTCTTATTTACATGCAGCGGAACGTCAATAGAATTAACAAATACCTTTGAAAAGGAATTGCGGCATTCCTCACGGCTCAGGCTGGTGAGAGTTCCTAGTCCACCAAGAACGTGTGTGCGGCTAAGAAGATATTTTGCCGAAATGTCACTTTCCAGCGGTGAACCATCACTGAAATAAAGTTGCGCATCGTCCATCACGTATCGCGCCGTAAACGTCAATTTGGATGTGGCGTCCAGTTCTGCCGCATCAATGAAGCCACCAAAACTCTCAGTTGACCCTCTCGGTTGAATCACAGGAGCCCACCTCTGTGAATGAATGAGGCGGCACGCGAAGGTCGACTTTTCAACCTTCAGCTTCAGCGCCATGGTGGGAATAAAACGCCTGCGATTCAGTGCCAATGCGCCACGCCCAGAAATAAACACATCTTGGTCCCCCTCAATGACGTTGCGGTATGCCGCATCACCAAATGGCACAACTACAAGGAAATTCGACACTGTGGCAAAGAACTTGTTATCGGACCTTGCGTTAAAGAAATCTTCCTCTTCATCTGCTTCAGTTGCTATCTTTGACGGTGATGCGTAGGAGGGACGTTTACGAAACGCGGAGGTGCCTTGCGGCAACACCTGCGCCGTCAGTTCCTGTAGACGCTTTATATTTTCCCGTTGTGTTAGTTCCACCTGCGCGTCCACCTGCTTCCTTACGCGTGTCAACCGGCGGTAGGCTGCATGTTTGAAAAGCTGACGACGTAATAAACGACCCTCTCGCTGCGACTCAAACCGCAACTTCTCTGCAAGGTCTCTTGTCTCATCAAAGGACCGCCGCAGAAGCGGAGCCAGCCCGACACGGACAATAATAAGCGGCGACCTGACCGACAGATTCCATCGTGTGGCAGTGATGCCAAGCTTTCCAAGTTCATGCAAACCAACAGGAATCCCCCGCGATGCCGCAAAGATGTTCTCAAGAGCTGCCCGTACGTCATTTTTGTCGCTTCGCCCGCTGGAGAGTGTAAAGGACGTTTCAAAAAGGCCCCAAATGAAACCGCCAAGTGGGCGCACCAATCGCGCCGATTCCTCC